CTGATGGCCAGAATCGGCTGGCGGCATGGCCCAGGGCTGGTTGCCGACCAGCCCTGGAAAAAACACCCCTTGCGAGGGAGCCTCGGAAGACCTTGCGCATGGATGTGTGAGCTCTATTCAATGAGGTAAATACGTTGACATGTTTATTCAGCTCTTTCATAAAGGCTTCACCGAAGAGTTGGCCCTGTGCCTGTGGGCCCAGTTCCTTTACCCCTAGATCAGCCAGTTTAGGGTCTATGCGGAAAAGTGCTGCGCGGCACCGCTCTGTTGAGAGGGCCGCATTCATATTTCCGAGAAAACAGAAGCCCCTCTGGGCCCATTCTCGGATATCATGCGCCATGTCCGCTGTAAATGAGTCCGCTCTGGCGTAGGCATTATCCGCCAGGTACATAACTCGGGCCAACGGCACCATCGTGTCCAGGAGCTTGTCTTGCGCCCCCTTAAAGCTCTTTTCGATTCCTCTACGCGGGTCGCGGCCTCCTTGCTCCATGAACGTCAGCATGAGCTGATCGAACTCCGGTGTAAACGCCACCTTATCTGGCAGAGTCAGTCTGGGACACTCCGCCCGCATCCTCTTATTTGTGTTTTTGCAGGGTTTTACGTATCCAAAAATGCATAAACCGGAGGAGGTGATCAGGTGGAGCCCATTCCCCAGAGCGGGGGTGGTGAATGTTCCTGGGGTCAAACATTCTCTGACCCGTGGTGTCTAGGGGCAGTTCCTCAGGAAACGAAGGACGACATCCACATAACATAAGTGCTGGTATTTAGGTGTTGGGGGTCGTCTTAATTTGATGCCCCGTAGTAGACGACATATTAGCGGATCCTGTCCGACCGCCCTTCCTTGGGACGATACGTGTGCTGCCGAGATAGGCGATCTCATAACATTGATAGTGCGATATGACTTGCCTTCCTTGAAGAGAGACGAGAGGAAATTCATGATATCCGAAACAGGGGTTGTAAAGGGATCCAGGTCCCGTCCCATGCACCAACTGGTCCAAGATCGCCATGCGGATAAGTAACTCTTTCGTGTTCCCGGGGGCCCTGGAGTCCCATAGGAGGTCCTTAGTTGGTTGTGGCGGAGGGTTCCGCGTCTAATTTATTCTGGGGCTCACCCAGGAATGTCTCCGTGACGTAGGCGTTGGAGCCCCAGTGAAATCGGACTCTTTAGCACTGGGGCTCACCCAGGATATTGGAACTGCTTTAACAGCTTCCGCTATGCAGCACTCAGGGACAAATCCCAAATGGGGGCTCACCCCTTGCCAGATTACTGGGCTAAACCTTACTGGCAGTCCTACTCCCCAGGGGTAATGTCACCAACCTGTGTAGGTCCCAAGTAGACTTCACCTCCGCAATCCTGCTGTAATTTCTCACACAAACAAGAGCCTTGTTCTGCTGTGTGTGTTCCTCACAAAATTTTGCCAACAAAATGGCCACCGCGAGTCTCACGAGAGACCCTGGGGCGTCAGAAAAGGCCCGCGATAAAAATGGTGATAGCTGAAGCGTTCGTTTATAGACTAAACTGCCGAACGCTCCTGGTGGAGGAAAGCCACGAACAGACTGGTTCTCCTGGTAAGTTTGATAACCGTCCGATCGTGCAAATCTCCTGGCAACAGTATGGTAACGTTCGCATAGAGACACGAACCGCGACTGCGGTTGCGTCCTTTTAGCGAAATGTACCGAGTCACAATGTAACCCGGTCTGTTCGCATAGCTGATGATGCGAACAGAGCGGGAAGGAGATGAGAACGGTGGCGAACATAGCCACTCAAGGAGACAGGGAGGTGGGTGGGTGGGGGGAAGGGGTCAGAAACGGAACGCCGTAGCCTCAGTGGGTCTGCAAATACAAAGCAAATGGTGGGTACTAAAGGTACATCAGATCACTTAAGCACAATACGTGTTGACACTTAAATAGGGCTAATCACAATATTGGGAAGCTCATTCCTTGACCCTTACACCCAAATTAGATGTAAGATCAGTCCCACTGAGGGGAGAAGGGATAGCCCCTCTAGAAGCTTCCCTGCCACCCCCAATATAACAGATGTTAGATACCCAAGATAGTAATATACAGTAAAACTATACAAAAGATCCTGAATAACAAAATACAATTAAGAAATCAGTACTCTGACCTGACTTGTGATGGAGCAGCAAAGAAAGAGGAAATGATTGGCCACGCTTGGACTTATATACACCCTGACTTACTCTGATTGGTTCTTTCTTTAACAGTTTTTTTTTCTTTGCTGCTATGGAGTTAGTAAAGAAAGTTAATGCAAAATAGAAAGCCTCCTGTCATGTTATAAAATTGCTTATCCTGAGGAACCTGTGGGAGAATAAATCAAATGCAAAGCCAAAAGGCAGTATGTTTACCTTATCTACTTCATTTAAAAAACTGAAATAGAAAATCCACAGTGTGTAATGCTTACATACCCAGTACAACAATGACATAAAAAAGTAAGAGATTAAAAACTTACCCAGACTTCTCACAAATGCCTGCCCTATGATCTGAGGGGGTTTCTTTGATGCATACAGGGGGATTTTTAAGGATATCACCAACCCCACATCATTAAAGTTTTTAAAGCAGTCCATTACTAAACCATTTCTGTGGTAAATATACTGATATGTACCTAACTCAGTTAGTACTGCTTCTGCAGGATGATTACTGAGTTCTTCAGATAAAGAGAGGCTGAACTTTATCTGGCAAGAACCCATGGTTCACATGGGAAGGTGGCCTCAAAGAAAATATTTTATTCACTCCTCCCTCCAACACACAGTATTTTTTTCTGTCCTTAAACAGGACAAAGGAATTTTACCACATGACAGGAGGCTTCATATTTTGCATTAACTTTCTTTACTGACTCCATAGCAGCAAAGAAAAAAAACTGTTTAAAGAAAGAACCAATCAGATTGAGTCAGAGAGTATATAAGTCCCAGTCTAGCCAATCATTTCCTCTTTCTTTGCTGCTTCATCACAAGTCAGGTCAGATAGATCAGGAGCTAACCCCATTGTTCATCGCTGATAGGGCTATATAAATAATAAAATAATAATAATCAAAGGAGGCAGTATAGGTGGAGAACAGTATGGGACCAAGGACTGAACATTGGGGGACACCAACAGAGAAAGGAGTTTGGGAGAAGAAGCAGAGCCAGAGAAGGAGCGCTGGGAAAGAGCAATATCTTGTAGACAGTTATTGCAGGGGATGAGAAGAAGCTGTTGATGATCAGCAGTGTCAAAAGCCGCAGAAAGGTCAAGGAGAATTAGGATAGAGTAGTGACCACGAGATTTTGCAGCGAGTAGATCATTGGATACTTTGGTCGGTGCTGTTTCCACAGAGTGCTTAGCGTGGAAACCAGACTGAAGCAGGTCTAGCAGAGAGTTATACTCGAGGAGAGAGCGAGAGATTGAGAATTTTAGTGAGAGGTAGAGAAAGAGAAGAAGACAGAGTACGGATGAGATGTGAGGGAATTGGGTCTAGGGAGCAGGTGGTGGGGCGGGAGAACTAGAGCAGAGCAGAAACCTCTTATGCTGTAGTGGGTGCAAATTAACATAGAACAGCAGAGGATGAGAATACTTTTGTTAATGTGATATTTCATTTTTTTCTGTTTAATATATTAGCAATATCAAATTTGGTTTTCGCTTTAACATTGAGTGTTGTCATGTTTACAAAAAAAAAAAAAAAAAGCCTTGATCAATGCACTGTAAAACAAGTACAATAGACATTCTTTATTACACTTATGCTTAAAGGGGCACTCCGAGCATCTAAATGTAGTTGTTATGGTGCCGGGGGCACTCTTACCTTCACAGACTGTTTAAAAGTTGCATCCAGCACCAATCTCAACCAGGCAGCACCTGGTTTCTGAAATTTCAGTTTCAGGAAGCATGGAGTGCCCCCAAACAGTGGTGCAGCTGACTGTCAGAGCGGTCAGCTGATGCTCTCAGTCAATCAGCAACTCCCCGTTCACTGATTGCTGCCTAAACTGTCCCTAAATGAGTAAAATACCACATTGTGGTCACTCACTCGGTATTTTTCAACAGTCTCCAAGAGGTGCAAGGGAAAGGCAGTCTTTGAGCTTGCCTTGGCAGCCAAACTAATTTTGTCTCCTGCCGGGGAGACAAAACTACGATCATATGACCTTTAAACTCCTTTTTCAAAGTACTCCATAGTATTAAGCTACATCATGATTGGAAGATCAAATAGTTTGTCGTCAAGATGAGCAGTTAGTTCTTGGATTAGTCTGAAAATTGTAACATGGTATACCGCATAAATCTGCTTAACCCCTTAAGAACCAAACTTCTGGAATAAAAGGGAATCATGACATGTCACACGTCATGTGTCCTTAAGGGGTTAAAGGGTTTGAGAACAGAGACGCAGACTTGCTCTGCAAATCATTTCATTAATATATATAAAAATAAATAAATAACCTGTAATTAATGGAAAACTAGGCCAGGAGTGTCCAAAATGTAGATCCCCAGATGTTTTTAAACTACAGCTTCCATAATGCTTTGTCATTCTAAATGCGTTCAAAGCATCATGGGAATTGTAGTTCTACAAGTTCTGGGCATCTACCTGTTTGTTTAAAAAGGTTTAAATTGTTAGAGTTGCTATTCTCCCTTCTATTATTTTTACAATCTCTTTTTCTAATCTTCAAGACACCTCCACTATTTGGGTAAGTGATCCTGTCACCATACTGACCAGTGTCAAAACTCTTACTCGTAATACTAACCTTAGCGTACATTGTCTAACAATGCACTAGTAAGTGACATGCTCCCAGGAATGATCACTGTGTGTCAAATACAGTGATCACATTGCTTTGACTGATGCCACCACTGTTTGTTTTGCAGGTCATGCAGTGAAGCATCCAATCACTACTGCTGGACTGCTTCAATGGTGAGGTACCTTCATTAGCTGGGAAACACACCACAGCCATCTTGGGTTACAGATAGTCAGCATCCGCCCCGAGGCTTCCAGTGATAGAGTGCAAGTTGCAAATATGCAGCATTTTCATTGTATCACTAATCACACCACATGTCTATAATTTGTCATCAATGCTTTTAGTTTTAGCTAAAACAAATTTGGTCTTTAAATAACTGCAAACATTTAAAGTAGAGATGTTATGCGAGACACCTTTTAGACATTATAAAGGACAGACCATGTTTATTTAAGTAAAACACATCACTGGCAGAATAAAGCCACCTTCAGTAAGTAGTGCATCGAGCTTTTAAAAAAAAAACAAAAAAAAAAACAGAATATTGTATCAACGAACAACAATGGTTGGTCCCTCTAAACAAAAACTTTTACTGCAGTGCAACAAGAACACTAAAGACAGGCACTTCTTATGCTCCTAGATCACATATTCTTTGTGTTTCATCAATGTCAATCGGTAAAGTTCCAGCATGTGATAAAGCGTAAATTATATTTGCAGCACCTGTCCAAGATGCCACGCAGATGTTCTAATAAAAAAGAAGGCACACCACACTTTTCATAATATACTGGCTGCCACATTGGGTTATAAATTTGCTAAATTTTAATAAGGAGCAGTCTTGCTAGTGTTAGAGTGACCGATTTAGGGAGTTCTGTTTAGAGAAGAGAATGGGTATATAAATGTTAAATATACAGATTAAAAATAAACTAATTTCCTCTTATAACAACAGTTGCAAAAATTAAGAACAAGTGCAGGTTTTCAGACTAGTTAAAACCACATCTGGCCTTGATACTAAAACCAAATGAAGGTTTAGCTTTTTTTCCTTTATTTTATTCTAGGGGTAAAAAAAAAAAAAAAAATTATATATATATATATAAAATTGCAAACACATAGTTACAAAGAAAAAAAAAATGGGAGTACCAATACTCAAATAAATAGTTCATCATTTTGATGAATATGTACAATTATGCAGTGTCCCAACATTTATTAGTCCAGAAGTGGCATGTCGTTGTCCAGAGGTGTTGGGGCAAGTTCACATAAATAGAACAGAGTGGTCTCCTGGGCTTCTGCTTCTGTCAAAGGTTCCAGGCGCACCAATTTACTTTGTGTCGGTTCTGAATCCAAGCTAGACTCTAGAAACTGGTCCATGTCATGCAACTTGTCAGTCTGTGCTTCTGTGTTGTATCCTCCAGAGTCACCATCAAGAAGTGCCAAAAGTGGGAAACTCGTGTATTGCACAAGTTGTTGATCTGTAGAGGAGCATCACATATTTTATTTTTCATTTATTTGACAGTGAGTTTTATGCTTCTTTTATTGCAACAGTAAAATACTCAAGTCAAGAATCCCACTCCTCAATAATAAATTTCTTATTAACCTGCTTTTCATTTATAAATCAAAAATTAATGAATTGTAAAAAGAAAGTTGAAAACAGAGCAGATCTTCCTTTACAAACCCCAATACTTCTGTATTTAACTAACCACTTTTCTAAGCTCCAGTCCACCCAACCGATATTCACCTCAAAGGACAGCCCTTGGACATCATTATAGGCATAACCATATTAAGATCCACAGCATACTGGCTGCAATTTTGGCAGAGTGATTACTTCACTACCTATGATGTCTTGTGGCATCTTTGCTACCCATCCAGCCCCCCCAGGTAGCTAGAAGATTCACCATGGACAGGGCATATAGACTGCCTGGCCAACGCAAACCCACCCCCACAGGATATTAGTCTTCACTGCACCTCATCATCCCAGTACAAGGGGCAACTTTTGGCCGCCCGGCCGGGCAAGACACTTGTCATTTGAGCACTCTCAATTGGCTGTTTATCAGGACTCAACCAGAACTACCTTACAATGGCACAGGTCTTTCCGACACAATTATGCTCAGCCAGTATTGGTTATAGAGGAGTATCTAGATCCTTATTGGTGATCCAAAATGGAACTGTACATAAATTTAACTGTGTCTGAGGCCTCAGCATTCTTGACAACACTGGGTATTCATTGCTATTAATTTTTGCACAGTTATTTGCTCAATCCTATGTTTTGGATTCTGTTACTCTTGCATTTGCTTTTCGGTTCAGTTTTGTCCATGTTCACTTGGCATATGCGTATGGATACTCAACCTCTGCTAATGAACCTCTAGGTGTAATGGCTTGGGTTAGATCTCTTGGGCACCTACTTGACCATATGCTGTTGTCAACAACCTGACGGATAGAAAACCCACTGCACACTCAAATATGTGGATATATCTGTGTTGTTACTGACATTGTGTTTCCCAAGCACCACGAACATAAATGATGTCAAAATAACCTCTTCTCAATAGAACTGCAAGTAAATATAAATTGGTAGGCTATTATGGCATATGTTCTGCATCTGTCATAATATCTTTCTGTACATTCCACTTTGAATATTATAGCAACAGATTCCAAAATGCTCGTCATACACTGGGGACTTACCAGATTTCCGGCTATCAGCATTACTTCCTTCTGGTGTGGCACCACTGCTTTTCAGGGACTCGATGCCTTTGTTTTCCAGCTATGTTCAAAGAAAACAAATATAAATGTATGAATTAAAACTAATGGACTCAAAAAACAAGTTACAGGTTTATACTCTTGTTGGGGCGCAAACATAATACAAAACTGTAATTGTAAGGGATGTAACTGAATGTTTTTGTTTTAATGTTATCCCTTTATAACAAGTGGCAGGCTAGTACTACCATGATAAAATAGGCTTTGCCCAAATACCTCACAAGTATGGGGTAAAACATTCAAATTTACCACAACTTACACCAGATCTTCTAGCAAAGGTATTCTCTGCTTTTTATTTAAGGATACAACAAGAAAAAAAATGTCAGCTGAACAAACAGGTTTTTTATGGGTTCATATTTTTTTTCTTCCCAAAATAGTGGGACATCTATGTACTCATGTATGCAATAACTGCAGAATCAAAACGCGTTTACCTCATCTCTGCAGTGCTTTGTTACAGAAGTAAAAAAAAAAAAAAAAAATTGCAAAATGTGTTTTTTTCATACATATTAGACTATAATAAAATATATTTTATCTATCTTCACAATGCTGTGCTATGGTATGGGATGTCTATAAAAGTGGAAAAAAGTATCGGATCCTCCAGTATAACAGCTGTGTAAGTACACAGGCATTTAATAATTAAAAACAGCACATCTCAACTCGCGGTAAAACAAACTTATTTTTTTTAAAGAGCAAAGTAAAGAGCAAAGAGGTGGTAAAAAAAATAAAAAGGCATTTTGACGTGAAAAGAGGGAAAGCTGCAAGTGGGATTTGGCTCTGAATGGTTTGCCAGTTTTTTGGCATCTGTTCAGGCAGCATATTTTATGGCTAAAGATCTGTTAGCATGGCTCTTCTCTAGGAACATGTGTTCAGGGTGATCAAGGGTGCAGAGTTTTAGAAACCTTTTTCTAAATGATGAAAGAATAAGCCAGTACAAAGAAAGAAACACTGCAGCTGTGAAAACAGAATTTTGCATAATTCCCCCCTCCAAAAGGAGTGTGTGTGTGTGTGTGTGTGTGTATGTATGTGTATATATATATATATATATATACACACACACACACACACACACACACACACACGACAAAATTATTGGGACAGCGCAAATATTAAATTTATGGGTTTCAATCACACTCATTGCTACAGGTGTATAAAATCAAGAACCTAGCCATTAAGTCTGCATTTACAAACAATTGTGAAAAATATGTGTTGTCCTGAAGAGCACAATTAATTCAAACGTGGTACTGTGAAAGGATGCCGCCTTTGCAATAAGTCAGTCGGTGAAGTTTCATTCCTGCTAGATATTCAGTCAGCTTTAAGTGATATTGAGTTTGGCGGATGCCAAGAACATTACCTGCCTGACTGCACCAACTGTAAAGTTTGGTGGTGGATGAATAATGGTATGTGGCTGTTTATCAGGATTGGGCCCCTTAATTCCAGTGAAAGGGAAGTCTTGGATAATGCTATGATTCCAACTTTGTGAGAACAGTTTGGAAAGGCCTTTTTCTATTCCAGCAGGACTTTGCCCCAGTGCACAAAACAAGGTCCATATAAAAGACATGGTCGGATGAGTTTAGTGTGGAATAACGTGACCGGAACAGACAGAGCCCTGACCTCAACCCCATCAAACACCTTTGGGATTTACTGGAACAGATTGCGAGCCAAGGCTTCTCATTCAACAACAGTATGTGACCTCACAAATGCTGTACTACATGAATGGGCAAAAATTCCCATAGAAACAGTTCACAATCTTGTAGAAAGCCTTCCCTGAAGAGTGGAATGTGTTATAGCTGCAAAGGAAGAACCAACTACATATTAATGTCTATGTATTTAAAATCCAAGGTCATTGTCAGGTATCCCACTACTTTTGTCCATAGTGTGTGTGAGCAGGAATTTATCTCACATCAAAACATTAGGATGTGTCAATACAGCATTAAAACCCAGTATACTTAAGATGAAATGACATGTCAAAGCTGTAAAGTGGCCAAGATCAAATTTGGAGTTGCATTCTACAGAAAGGAACAGAACGAAGTGCAGTAATGAAGGGAAGACAATACTCAGACTAATTACTGATAATTTCTGTATTCAGATATGGAAATCTCTACAATATCTGGCACACTCAATTACATTAATAGAGAATCATTTTTGGGTTAATTTGACTCTCTATAGAAGATTTTCTGGGACATTACCATATAACTTGCAAAAAGAATGGGTACTTGCATCCATGCAACAGTCACTACATGGTAGGTAACTAATTGTAAGGGTGGTAGAAAGTATGTATATGCAAATAAGGTTAAGATTCTTCACTATTCTAGATAGTGAATAGAGGAAATACACTTCACTGATCCCACCTAAAACTACTCTAAATAAAGCAACAGAGGTTGTATCCATTTAGAGATGCATACCTTTGAGCCCTTAAGAAAGTCAGTAGAACTTTGCACATTACTGCTGAATATCTGAAAAAGGAAAATGTGAGAACAGTAAGCAAATGAAAAATTTGTAAAGGAGGTAATTCCATTCTGCGTATGTTGCATGATAAGTAATGAGTTCATACATATACACAAAAATGCATTTATATGCATGTCTGTGCAGCAGTGGAAACCAGTTTTTTTAACTAAAGTTAAAGGAATACTATAGAGTATTCCTAGCACATTAATGCCATCTAGATCCGCGCACTGCCACCAGTGTCAAAAAAGGAGAAAATAAAATAATTTAAAAAAAAAAACACACTTTTTTTTTTACATATACCATACTCCAGTGTCGCCATGCTCCTCTTCAACTATTGAGGAGGACCTAATGCGCATTAAGCCTTCCCCATAGCACAACATTGCCTACATATACACTTATGTATACTCGTTCTAAGTGTATTTTGAGAGATATAGATAGTATAAATAATAAATAGTAAATAATAAATACAGTTAGAACGAAACTACACACATACCAGTATATAATTTTTTTAAGGATTTCTTTATTTACACACACACATATATATATATATATGAAAAAAAAATCAATATCATTGTGCGTGCATTTTAATATATATTAAAATACACAATACAGTGTGTGTGTATATATATTATATACACACACACACACACACACAATGTATCTAAAAAAATTTTTTTACCATGTGATCGTGAGGTCCTCGCAGTCACATGGCCCATAAGGGCCGGAATGGAAGCAGGGGGACTCCCTGGGATGCCAGGGGATTCCCCCACACCGGGTAAGTACATAGCACACCAGGGACGTTCTATGCCGCCCGCCGGCGTTTAGGACCAGTTCCCCAAGGACGGCTTAGAACGCCTGCCGTCCTTAAGGGGTTAAACCCTTTAATGTAAACATTGCAGTTTCTCAACAACATCTTTTGAGTGCATATATTCATGTTTACTCTTGTTTTAGTATGTGCATTACAGTTACACGTTATTTCACGATACTATGACAGTTTCTTTTCTAGTGTGATCTCTACTGGATTATCTTGATCCTCTGAGCTGTGAGAGTTGAGTTTCAATATAGGAAGACAGTCATTATTCAACACTTTTCGCTTTCCAGGTTGTGTTATACTTCTGTTTTTGTTTTTTAGGAGAAAGAGGAGGTTACTCTTGGGGATATGCCTTTTGAACTATATGTCATTTTTCTATTGATTCTTTAGTTACGATAGGAATGCTGCTTTTTTTTTAAATGCACTGTTCAGTATGTGAATGCCTCCGGTCAGTATTTATTCACCTAGACTAGAATAATCTGCAATTTACTTTTGGGCATGATTTGAAGTTTAAAAAACAAAAAAACAAAAAAAAAAAAACACACACTTGGGCTAGTGAAGGAATATATCATGTCATTTCACAAAGAGAACGTTTTTGCTTTACAACAACTTCAACTGTTGGAGAAATATAACTCATGGAAAAGAGTACTGGCAGCTACAGGATATCATAAAGGTGTCAAACAACTTTTCTTAATGAGCATTAGAAGAAAACAAAATCTGACTATCCCAATGGCAATGTTGCTGTAAATGCTTAACCAAAACGGTTTTGTTTTTAACATAAAGCAATACTTAGATTGCTAGCTTTAAAATATTTTTCAAAACAATTTATTTTCAACCCAGTACACACAGCTAGCACATCAAATATAGCAACTAGATGTGCAGACTGCTATTTTGGGAAAATATTTAAGATAAAGGAAAAATAGACAATATTTGTTAATTCATCTGCTGCAGAACTGCTCATATATAGAATTTGTTATTATACAGTACAGAATGATTTACAATTCCTTAGCAAAGCTCAGAATAATTTGTATAGAATTTTAATTTTAGACCATATATCATAGAAAAGCACTTAAAGCATATATGTTATATTTGGAAAGAATTTAATGATTTTGCAAAGTCCACATTCCCAAACCTCTTGCACAATATGGGAATATGCAGATTTAACATGTCTGTACACAGTAGCAGTAAGCCTTGTAGGCTTCTGTAAAGAAGTGCAAAAGTAGAGTAACATCATATCTTCATTCAATCTAAAATCTTGGCAATATACCTCATCACAGAATGCACCTGTCATGGTTGAATATATTTATTACCAGCTATGTGTTTAGAATAGGGAAAATATTGTTTATTTAGAGCCGATACCGATAATCTGTGAACTTTCAGGCCGATAACTTGCCAATATTCTGTTTATATTCTACATTTACTATTTTAAAAAATTAACTATTTCTAAAGGTAAATGCACAAAATATACATGCCACATGTAGTGGATGCAGTGTGTATATAACGAATGCAGTGAGTGTTTGTGTAGTATGTATATTTAGTGAATGCAGAGTGTGTGTGTGTGTGTGTGTGTGTGTAGTGTGCATATAGTGAATGCAGTGTGTGTGTAGTGTGCATATAGTGAATGTAGTGTGCGTAAAGTGAATGCAGTGTGCGTGTAGTGTGCGTAAAGTGAATGCACTGTGCGTGTAGTGTGTGTAAAGTGAATGCTTGTGTGTGTATAATGCAGTGTGTTTGTGTGTGTATAATGCAGTGTGTTTGTGTGTGTATAAAATGCAGTGTGTTTGTGTGTGTATAATGCAGTGTGTGTGGGTGGGTGTATAATGCAGAGTGTGTTTGGGTGTATAATGCAGAGTATGTGTGTGTGCATAATGCAGAGTGTGTGTGTGTGTATATATAATGCAGAGTGTGTGTGTGTGTATAATGTAGAATGTGTGTGTGTGTGTATAATGTAGAATGTGTGCGCGTTTCTTTATTGTGTATATAATGCAGAGTGTGTGTGTTTCTGAAGGGATGTAATTTGTGTAAAATGGGGGGAATTTTATTTAATATTTATATGGGGTTTTTTTCCTCCCCTCTCCTTGCTTGTTACCTGGCCAGGGAGGGGGAGGGGAAATATGTAATTCCCTGGTTGTGCAGTGGTATGTACTGAGCAGTGGGGGCCCGCAGCAAGCTGTTACTTACCTTCCCAGCAGCTCCCTGTGTAAATCTCGCGGCCAGGGTGCCGCGCGGAGCGTTGCCATGGTAACCCGTGGCAACGCTCTGCGGCCGCGGGACTTGCAAAATTTACACAGGGAGCTGCTGGTAAGGTAAGCAACAGCTTGCTACGGCCCCCTAGGGCCGCCGGGCTTGTAATGGGCCTGGCGGTCCTGGTACGTATTATCGGTATCTCTATTGGCTGATACCGATATTGCCGAAAATACAGAATATCGCCCGATGATATCAGTAAAACCAATAATCGGTCGATCCCTAGTTTATAATATATAATATATAAAGTATTTTTGTAATATTGTATCAATGCAATGTTTTGTGTACCCAGGACATACTTGAAAACGAGAAATATCAATGTATCCATCCTAGTAAAATATTTTATAAATAAAATAAAAATAAATTTCTCTGCACAGACTGAAAGCTGCAGCAAGGAGGAGCATCACTTAATTAATGGTCAGAGGTCAAATAGGTAATATCCACAGTAATTAGTAATAGGAAAACATCAGTGTTCACAACCACAATTAAATCTTGCACACCATACAGTTCTTCTCTAACTTGAACAGACTTCCTCATAGCATGCTATGACAGTTTATATTGTACTGCTACGACTTTTATAAAGAAAATAAGAATGAAGCAGAGTGTCAAGCTAATATATGCTTGTATAGTAATATGATGTGTCTCAAAATGCATTTGTTGCAATGGACAACTGCTGATAAACAGATGCAAACCCTTGGCAGGTGGTTATAGAATACAAAGTGTACACCACTGAAATGCTTAGACAACACAGCTGCTTCCTGAAATCCAAGTTTTTCCGCATATAGTAAATCAACAGTTAGTTGAGATTTTATTAATAGTGCTGAATATTAAGCTTCTGATATAAAATGTAACATAAAATAAGTGGAAATTTTGAATAAATAGTTTCTTACATCTACCAGCAAATCCCGGTCTATGCTGAACTGACGCCCAGACAGTAAAGCTTTGAAGTCGTCTAAGGTGCAATCAATGCTGTCTAAATAATCCAAGAGTTCAACTCTGAAAAAGAAGGGAAAATAATAAGTATACTGGGAAAAAAGTAGTAAAAAACAAACAAAAAAACACAACTCAGAATGTTAACTTGATCTTTACTTCTATATACCCACCCATCAGCATGTGTTCAGCTCTACATCTCAAGTATACTACCATTAAAATAACAAACAGCCACCAACATATACTCTAGAATTAAAAAATAAAACACGCACACACATGTAAGTGGACTGCTTACTTTCCAAGTAGATTAATATTCTGAGAAATAACACCACTTTCATTGAGTATGGTATCCATCATTGTTACGGGGTCTTCTGAAGATAGAGAGGACAGGCTGTTAAGCTGCACTGCAGTGGACATCATGGGGCTCGAAATGTCTTCACCAATGGGGCTCAAGGGACCGATCACCTCTGCAAACCTATTTTCTTGCACAACTGGAACATCTTCATTCTCGCTGTCATCTTCCACTATGACAATTTCAGGAGAGAGCCTGTCACTAATAAAGAAACATGAAATTAAAAAAAAGTTACAATTTCTAACACTAAATCTTCAAGATTATCAAGATATTTACATATTAATAAAACTTTAAAAATAAGCTTTAGTTCATCAAGACAGAATATTTCACACATGCCACCTTCTGCTGCTGATCTTTAAATTTTCTCTTGAGCTGCACAAAAAATACCCTTTGATTCGCAAGTGTCAATGAGATTTAAATTCCCATCGACAAATTTGGTATCCAGCTTTGAAAAACACCAAGAAAATGGGGAGAGCGTGCAGCTAAGCAAGATCAAATTAATTCTGCACAATTTGTATAAAATATAGATTTATTAAACAGGCTTTATTATTTGGAAACCTATATTACTAACTTCAGTGTGTCTGAAGCAATGTCGTCAGATTTTTCTGGAGTAGCCAGAGTTCTTGCTTCAGTCACCTCTGCTCCCTCCTCCTCCTCCTCCTCCTCCTCATCCATCATATTATCAGTGATATCATAGATGACAATGTCCTCAGAAATGTCTCCTCTTTTCAGGCCTTCTGTTCTAAGAGGAACCTGCAAACACATCACATTATTATTAAAACAATATCAACAAAAAACGCAACAATAATGATCTGTCTTTCCTTTAAATCTATAACTGAATAAGTTGTGTTTGTGAGTAATTGTTACAGAGTTAGTAATTCACTAAAATACGGATTGCCAGAATTTCCAAGTTAAAGGGACACTATAGTCACCAAAGCAACTTTAGCTTAATGAAGCAGTTTTTGTGTATAGATCATGTCTCTGAAGTTTCACTGCTCAATCCACTGCCATTTAGGAGTTAAATCGCTTTGTTTGTGCTGCCGTAGCCACACCTCCCCTGGCTGAACTTTAATTTAATTTATGAACTTTAATAACATACAGGAGGCGCCTGCAGGGTCTAGCAAGCTACTAACATAGCAGGAGACAAGAAAATCTACATTAAACTGAATCTGTAGTAAATGAAGTGTAAACATTAGTGGACTCTTGACCGGAAGTGTTTAGGAAGTCTGTGCGAGTCAAATGCAGGCAGGTGTAACAAGGACTACATAAACATAAGTAATTCAACTCCTAAATAGAGAATTGAGCAGTGAGGCTGCACAGGCATGGCCTATACACCAAAACTCCTTCATTAAGCAGAAGTTGTTTTGGGAACTATAGGTACTTTTAATTCACATTTTAGGAAAAAAATATCCAAATTGGAAAAAACCTCCAAGTAAACTGTTTTTAATTCAACTATTTTAGGCTAAAGATGGAAATATTTTGAATTCCCAACAATTCACATTTTTATGAATAACCATGGGATGCAGATTATGCTACCAAAAAAAAAAAAAACCAACAACACTAAAACAATCCCACACAATACATGATACTTTGGTTTTATAGAAATTAGAATCACTAAAACAACAAATGTTTAAGATATTAAATATGGACATTTTTAGTTTGAGTAAGCTTACATGTTTATCTTCTCCCGTCTCTTTAACTAATGGCTGTAAAAGCGTGGATTTTGGAGAACTGTTTGTGTTGAGTAGCAATGGCCTAGAAAGAAACAGAAGAGAGGTGAGATGACATTTAGGAGGTAGTATTTATAATTAAATGGGAAGTATCACAAAAACTTGATTACATTAAATGTGTTACAATTATCCTATTGATAGGGTTTGCTTAAAAAGGCTTTAAAAACAAACCACTTGGTCAAAGAACATTTTTACTTCCATCTTATTAATACTACCATTCTTTTGTGATAGTTCCCTTTTAATTAACAGAATAAAAAAAAAAAAAAAATGCTTACTGTTTTCTCTTCAGACTGACTAGTCTGTTATTCTGTACTAATGTCACAATGAATTGCACTATCTGCAGAGACATAAAACAAGTCACCATGAAATAAAAAGTCTGCGGAACTTTGCATAGCAAATTTTACAAAGCAAATTACACAAGGAATTGGGGATTGCAAAATCAGAAGTGCTCCCAAAGCCTACAGTTGTAACATCTGTGAACCACTAAATTATCTATACTACTGAACTACTTGACCCTGATAAATGTGATATGACCTTAAAATAAGTTTGAACAATAAACAGAATCTGATTAAGCAAATGCACATACAAAAAAAGTGGTGTAATGCCTTTATTACTAATATTGCTAACATTTTGCAATATTGAAACAGAATGTGACGGCAGATAAGAACCATTCAGCTCATCTAGTCTGCCCAATATTTCGAAATACTTTCATTAGTCCCTGGCCTTATCTTAAGTCTAGGATAGCCTTATGCCTATCCCACACAGGGAGGGAGAGACTACCCATGCTCTCTATATTATCCGCAATTATGGTGTGCACACGTACGAAGAGCAAACAATGATTGTCACCACTAAAGCGTGTTCTCCTCAATAGATTTTGTTACAAAGAATTATATTCTGGTCAAAATCTCTCTCACAGATTAGGGATAATCAATGCAGCTGTCCTGTAGCTGAAAACAGCCCCATCTTGCAGGGTTCAATTGCTTCTAGTTGTTGTCATTCAGACAGCCACTACAGGCTCTTCCAAGGAAATTGCAGAGTAAATCTCTGTTATTTCAATCAGATGATCTTATAGAGGGCCAGCAGACCCAGCAAACCCACACAGCACTGGAAATAAGGTAAGATTGTACTATATTTAGGGGGGTTAAATGTTCCAAAAAGGGAGTTTAAAATTTGTACACATTTGTATTCCTGACCCTATAGAATCCCTTTAACTTACTTGAGAAGATTTTATCTCCTACTCTGTATATTGAACTTCAATTACATACAGGAGGCTCCTGCAAGGCCTCCTAGCAAGCTAATAACAGAGCAGAAGATACACTTGAAATTAAACAGAACTTGCAATAAAGGATCTCACTTTTGAGGAAGTGTTTAGGAATGATGTGCAGTTACTTGCAGGATGGAGTGACTAGGGCTATCTAAACAAAGTGATTTAACTCATGAACCGCAGAGAACTGAGCAGTGAGACTGCAGAGGCATGTCTATACACCACTGTTATAGCTCACTTTGAGTGTGTTTTTATCACTATGGGTAGCACGTTGTTTTCTTTGATGGTTATGTTACTAGTGACCGTAGGGCTAGATGGTTTAGGTAGGCACTAGTGGTTTACCACGGTGCCAAAGTATCTAGGGATAGATTGTACGGTAAGATTTTTCTGTTGGTCTCTCCCCCCCCCCCTCATTGCCTTTTTTTGTTTGTCTTTACCTCCTGTTTCATTCACTTGTTAGCTCTTATTATAAGGTCTATGCCATGACCTTCTCATTGGGCCATATAAAGTTTTAAAGTAAAATCTTTAGGAGTCTATCTTCCCTATGGTGATCTATATTGCATTACAAATTAGTCATTTTTGAGAGAACTTATCTTTGCCTCCATAATTTTTTTTGAGAAGGAATTAGGGGGTAGACCACTTATTGTTATTTCCCTTTTACATTATTATTATTTTATTAATATTGCCATTTATATAGCGCCCACAGATTATCTATAAATAGGACAATTACAAAAAACTTACAGGAACAATAGGTTGAAGTGGATCCTGCTCAAATGAGCTTACAGTCTATAGGAGGTGGGGTATAAAACACAATAGGACAAGAGATACCATTCACTTTCTCTGTCCTTATCACTCAGTGGTGGCTTATTGCTACCCTATTTATAATGGGACTATTATTATAGTCTCTTAGGACCTCGATCCCTCTTAAGTTTTTGGATACACATTTTTAGATTTATTGCTAACTTTACCCTTCGTATTTAATATAGGTTGTTTTTATATCATTATTTCTGTTTCTCCCTTTCAAGGTTTTCTGTTTTCCCAGACTCTTTGTTTCTTCCCTTTCTTGTTTAACTAATCAATTTAGGGTTACCCCCTTCTTTGGTAGAACCGTTTCAGGTAATCCACTAAGGTGGGAGGATATAAACTGTAAGAAGCAGTGCAGACAGATTTAAATCAGATTTAGCAAATATCACCAAGCAGATGTAAAAGGTTGCTCAAGAAGTACTATGAGGAGGTGCCTAAATACAAAGGTTGACAGAATCCCCCCGCGCCTCGTCAAGGTTCTTTAACATATCTTGAATAGACCAGGGGGTTTAAATTTTTAGATCAAAGAAGCAAAGCTGGAAAGAGTGGAGTATTTATAATTAAAAAAATAATTAAAAAAAAAAAAAACAACACCTTGTGAAGAAATCATATACCTTTCGAATAACTTGTTGCTGATTGTTATGCTTGGTACGAAGATCTGAAATTTCTCTCCACAATGCTTCATTTTCTCTGAAACAAAAGACAAACTTCTGTATGAAATTCAAGAACTAATTAATGAATTCACCCATTAAATTTTTTAGGAAAGTTACAGATTGTCAGAAAGCTATTTCCAGTTCCATGTAATTGCTTTCTGGACCATTAACCCTGCCCCATTTTATGACACTCGCCCTCTAATACTTGTTTAAGCTGACCATCTATTTCCTTTCTATAAAGCGGATACAAGTTCAACATGACTTTGGACAGTACTGCCACTCTCTCTTTCAAAAGTTTTTTTTGGGTTTTCATTTTACAAATATAAACACACTTTTCAACAGGTGACTGTTCCCGATCAGATCCTGAGCAGTAGTTATTAGTCCCAATTATTAAGCTATTTGGCATGCCTCACTGCATCACAGGCTCCACATTCATTTTATATATTCTCCTCCACCACCCATCTAAAATGTTGTCCAATTTATTCTCCTACTTCCCTGTTGTCACAGTTTTTTATTGTTTCATTTACCACCTCCAATACTCTGCACGCTTGTTCCTCTCTTCTACAGACACACCTTCTTCTCCCTTAGACATCAGTCCCCTGCCTGCACCTTTATATCTCACTTCCATCTCCCTTAACTCTATTGCTCCTGCAAGCGGAGCAAGTCTTCACTAACCCTAGGCCTGCTTCCTTTCTTCCTATTTCCCCTAGCAACCCTTCAACATTATACACATTCCACTTATGCTCCCTCTTTTCACTGGGACCTTTGGAATATTAGCTCTGTATGTAGCCTTGTCAAATCAGCTTTCATTCATCTTTATTTCTAATTCCCTCAATTACCTGGCCTCTCAAACTTTGCTCTCCCCCTCTTACTGTACTACACCTGCTAAAAGGGGATTGCCTAAGGCATACTAGACATAATGAGGGATGGATTTTTAAGTCCCACTTGCCAAGCACCACCCTCAGTCCCAATAGTCTAAGTTAAATAAAAATTCCAAATGCATTACCTTTTTAAAGTAAATAGCCTTGAATCAATGGTGTCTTGTTTGACCTGCACCTTAGCAGCACTACTTAAGATTTTAGTAATGTCTTCCTGTCTTACTTTTACTTCTTCAGGTCTTGTAGAAGACACCTAAGATGGCAAAAAAAGAAAATAAAATCTGAAATCAACACAAATAAAAATACATTGGTAATACAGCTTTTCTCAAAACCACATGTATGCTTTTAAAAAAGTGTAGATATAATATTAATGTTAAGCCTTGTAATATATATTTTGCAAGAAAAAAAAAAAATGTACCTACCTATGGTAAATTTCGAATAATCTAATGATGACAACCTATGCATTTGGTGGTTTGCTTGGTTTTTGACATTACAAAAAGCTGGACTCTCCCTCTTATTCTGAGACCACCCTTCTTCAAACACATAGACAAAGAAGAATTAGCGATAACAATTATGTCCAACCAGGACAGCACTGATAGGCGGAATGGAAATGACATCCTAAACCATGGTTGCCACCAACAGACTTATTGCCCTGAACTATATTAGTTATGGTGTTTTAAAGGGACAATAAGCATCATAGCCAACCTTTTGAGTAATTAGGTACAAGGAGTCTTTGTGTGCAATTTCACGTTTTTAGTCAATCCTTGGACAACTAGTATTCATCTATGGAAGGGGTTGGCATAATGAGCAACAGTCAAAAATGGCAAATGTGTAAAGAGAAACTATTATGGGGAAAACTTGTCTATTTTAGAAAAACAGCTAACATATTTTGTTAAATTAAATTTCATATAAAGCTGCATCTGGAACGTCAGGCAAGTTTTAGAGTCTGATGTTATGGGATACTACATTAGAGCAATTATTTCCATGAAGAAGAAAAAAAAACAAGCTCAACTTCACCTATGATCATTGCCATGTACTATAGCCTTTTACAATACAGTGATGTATACACTTTTCCCATAAATAAACTAACCTTTCTCTTTATGTTCTCCAATAACTCGTCCTGACCTTGGACAAAAAATGGGTGTTGAAATTCCACTGGCCCATCTCTCTCCTGCTTCACAATTCCAGAATCTGCATGTACTACCTTACGGAAACCGTCTGGAAAGACAGAAAGGAGGAAAGGGAATTTATTAAACATCATGTGATACTCTTATGCATAACCTCAGGATCCTACATACAGCATGTGCATAGAAAAGTATTGCATATAAAATGAAAGCATCCAAAATTATATATAAATAAAAAATAACCTTACACATGTTTAGCTGCCTTACAAAGCTTGCCATGTTGTTGTGTTTGAAATATTTGGGAAGAATCTCTTTAGCAAACCGTTGCTCGTCCAGAACAAGAAAACTCTGCCCATTCTGAAATAAAAATAAGATATAAGAGTCGTCAGTGATGCTACCCAATCATTGGGGGCAGTTCTCCACACGTCAGTGTAACATTTTAAACAGAAAACCATGGTCACAGCTACTTTTGCAAAATATATATGTAAAACTTTATATACTTTCCTTTTATCTATCATGTATTGTAAAAGGAATAATTTACAATAATAAATCAAAAAAAACAAACATTTAAGGATAAAAGTTATCTTCATGAAGCACAGTGTTTCAGTTTCCTTGTTAGAGAGGTTTGCATCCATTTTTTTAGTGCCTGCCCACTTTCTTCCACCCTCGATCTTCTTTAATGCCATCTCCATGGATCTCTGTCACCTTCGTTTTTAATGCATCCGCAGACTGAATCACCCTCAATTGTCTGGCGGTCTATTTAAACAGCATTACGCCCATTTATTTCATTTTGATAAAAGTCCCATTCGGAGACTGAAAGGTTCATCCATATGTTTATTGCTTCAATAAAGCAGCGGTAAACTTCTGTACCAAGACACATTATCTCTCACACGCACACACACACTTTTTTTATTTTAAATCTAAGCGTTCCTTTGTGTACCGTAAGGAGGGGGTGGTATTTTTAACATCATACTGTGAAGCAAGTGATGTAAAAAGTGGCATCTTTTTCTCCAAAATATTCACCGCTGGGCTGGCTTCCTGTGACCTATTAGGTACCCAGTGCACCTCCGAGGTGTTTAGGGTTTTACCATCATGGAGAAGCCCATACCTCTCAGAGGTACACTGAGGACCTAACAGGCATGTGTGACGAGTGCCATGCATGTATTCAAGTTACCCCCATAGGAAAGCACTAAATCAATGCTATACTATGGAGCTTCCGCCTCACATGACTGAATTCTATTCAGTACAACAGAAGCACTTGTAAAGGCTGTCAGGATGACAGCCACTAGAGGTGGACTTAGTCCTGCAATGTAAACATTGCAGTTTCTAACCAACTGCAATATTTATAGTAGCAGGGTTATAAGGACAGGGACATTGTATCCAGACCACTTAATTCACTATAGTCACCAGAACAACTACAGCTTATTGTATTTGTGTAAGTATAAATCATTTCCTTCAGGCTTTTTGCAGTTAATATTGTTTTTTCAGAGAAAAGACAGGGTTTACATTACAGCCTAGTGATGCCTCCACTGGTCACTCCTCAGATATCTACTGCAGGTGCATCCTGGAGTATGGAGACACTGAACTTTCCTCATAGAGATGAATCGATTCAATGCATTTCAATGAGGAGCTACTGATTTGCCAGGGCTGTGTTTGACTTGTGCTGGCGCTGCCTCTGATCTGCCATTTTGACAGTGTAAGCCAATCCAATGCTTTCCTATGTGAAAGCATTATAATTGGCTGAGAGAATCACTTCTGATGATGTCAGGCAAGCAGGCTGATCACGGGCAGAGCCAGCACACTGGAATAAAAGTAAGATTTTGCTATATTTAGGGAGACAAGTTGGACTAAATAGTTAAACACTATAGGAATACATGTTCATGACCCTGACCATAGGCCTATAGTGTTCCTTTTTGAAAAGGAAAAAAAAAAGCTGTAATCCACCAATATTGGGGTACTTTGTCACAGTAGTAGACTTCTATAAAATCTGGGTTTAGTTCAGACATGTAAAATTATCTTTAAAGATGTGAAATGCTTTTTTAAACGGTTTATCTTTTCTTGTGTGTGTTTGCATCAGTCCATATTTGTGGTTATATTAACTTCAATGATTTCAACAGCACCTATTTGTGTCTTTTGGGAGCCCATATTAGACTCAAGTCTTGAGAATGCATCCAGTAGTGACGTGAAATGCATTTAGTTGTTTTTTTCTGTATCTCCCCCCCCCACCCCTCTCTATGTTGATGCTTAGTACAGAGATTTGTTAGTTACAACTCTTATCACACTGCCGCTTATTATGGTGGCCATGCTTTGTTAACAATATTGTAATAAATCCGAACTACAAGCATAATCGTTCTCCAGATATCTCTTTTCATTTCATTAAGTTCTTTTGAGTGCGGTATTGCTATTTTTGTGAGAATGGAGCGAGCATTGTTGCTGGCACCGAGAACTTGGGAGCATATTTACTGCCATGGTGGAGAGAGTGCCGCTAATAGGTTTCCTGCTGTTTTTGTGGCATTTCATATACGTTTTTATCAACTAATTAAATTGCTATTATTTTCTTCTCTTTTTCCCTTATTTGGGGGTAGCAGCACATACCTTTCCTTTATTTCAGGTTTAAGCATCCTGCACTTCCACACACCTGTACCCCATAAAAAGGAGCACTGTTAAGTGTTTAAACAGGACAAATCCTCACTTGTTGCTGGATATTTATGGATCTGCTAACAGTCAGACCCCATATATAGTATATAACGTGATTGCAGTAAGAGCAGGTCCAGTCTGTAACATTGCTGAAGACAGTGATCCAAGACTGGGAATGAATGAGGGCCTGGGCCGGTTATTCCCTGCTGATATGTGGCCGGTACCCGCAGGGAGGCCCCAAGGAAGGCGTCTGCAGGCACAAAGCACACACAGGGCCCAGCAGCATGCCAGGGCCAGCGCCGTGCCCATCCCCAGCTGGCACAATACGGCACCCACCCCAGCCCTACCTGGCTCCACGTGATGAACTCGTTGGTGTCCGAGTCCTCCACCAGGGTCCACAGCTTGCTCAGGAAGGCCGGCACGCTCGAATTCTGCTTCATTGTCCCCCGGGTGCTACCAGGGCCTGAAGAGAACACACTCTCACAGACAGGCCGCCCAGCGCGCATGCGCGACAGACGCTAGGGGAAAAAAAAAAAAAATCAGTATGAACAACCTGAAACCGGCCCCGCCCATCGACTAAGTATCTGGCCTGGAGTCCAATCACGGCCCGGCTTTGCATAACAGCTCGCGACCTCACGTGGAAGGACAGGTGGAAGGCAGGGTCTTTACTGGAGCCCGGGCCAGCATTGGAACCCAGCGGGGTTTGTGGCCGACCAATCAGAGGCTGCGGGGAGGCTGAGTGAGGGAGGGGGTGCTGGTGACATTGCTGCGCTCTTCCTATGGGACTTGCACCAAATATAGCCTGAGATAAACTTGTTATAAGTGTCCTGGTACATAACATGCATTCACCATGGAGACTATTAACCCTTCACTAGCACCGAGAGACAGACGGCATACTTACCAAGTGACCCTAATTAGGAGGGAGAGTCCCTATGTTGGGCCCAAATTTCTATGTCTCTCTTTTCTATCCTGATATCCCTTTTTATTAGGAGTTCCAGGTTGTTGGTGTGTCTGAATGTATAACAGAGCTTTACAGCAATAATACAGCAATGTGTCTTTCAACTACAATAACTGTGTTTAGAAATCAGTCCTTGTGACATAAAATATATTGTTCTTGAATGAAATGTTGCCATGTTTTTATTGAACACACCATGTAAACATTCACAGTGCAGGTGGAAAAAGTATGTGAACCCTTGGATTTAATAACTGGTTGAACCTCCTTTGGCAGCAATAATTTCAACCAAACGTTTCCTGTAGTTGCAGATCAGACGTGCACAACGGTCAGGAGTAATTCTTGACCATTCCTCTTTACAGAACTGTTTCAGTTCAGCAATATTCTTGGGATGTCTGGTGTGAATCGCTTTCTTGAGGTCATGCCAAAGCATCTCGATCGGGTTGAGGTCAGCATGGATGCTGTCCAGGAGGTGGGAGGGTCTGCTGGAGATTGGCCGGGTTGTGTCAGCTGACCGGAGCTCGCCGCGAACGGTTCGTGGTGAACCGTGGCGAGCCGTTCGCGTGAAGTTCGCGAACGGTTCACGACATCTCTATTCTTAATTGTAGATCTTCTGAGAGCTCTTTTGTACGAGGCATCATTCACATCAGGCAATGCTTCTTGTGAAAAGCAAACCCAGAACTGGTGTGTGTTTTTTTATAGGTCACGGCTGCTGTAATTAACACCTCCAATCTCATCTCATTGATTGGACTCCAGTTGGCTGACATTTCACTCCAATTAGCTCTTGGAGATGTCATTAGTCTAGGGGTTCACATACTTTTTCCACCTGCACTGTGAATGTTTACATGGTGTGTTCAATAAAAACATGGCAACATTTAATTCTTTGTGTGTTATTCGTTTAAGCAGACTGTGATTGTCTATTGTTGTTACTTGGATGATGATCAGATCACATTTTATGACCAATTTGTGCAGAAATCCATATCATTCCAAAGGGTTCACATACTTTTTCTTGCAACTGTATATGTGTGTGTGTGTGTGTGTGTGTGTGTGTGTGTGTGTGTATGTATGTATGTATGTATGTGTGTGTGTGTGTATATATATATATATATATATATATATATTATAGAAAGGCACTAACAAATTATGAAGCCTCTAACTCCCTGGAAAGGAGGATCAATTAGTATAATTCCCATTTAGGATCTTGTGTGTGCATAGGCAATCCAATAGTGAATATATGCAGACAAAAACAAGAAATAAAAAAATACAGTGCTCTCAGTTATAATAAAACATATAATAATATAGTGGAGAGGTACTCGCTACTGTGGAGCAAAACATCAGTTTTGCTCAGTCCATAGAGCTTAGGTGGTATGTTCCTTACCAAAGGAATAGGAGATCCGACTCCAAAGAAAGAAAACATGGTTGGTTCAGCAGTATAATAAAATATAACTACTTTATTTACTCTTAAGATAGATATAAAGATTAAAAACAATATAAAAATTAATAACACTATAATTAGTAACACTAACATGTTTCTACATATGGCTGAATATACACTTTATACAAAGAGTACACATTATTATTGGCATTTAAATACCGCCAACAGATTCCGTAGCACTTTACAATATTAAGTATAAATAGGAGAATTACAAAAAAAACTTACAGGAACGATAGGTTGAAGAGGACCCTGCTCAAATGAGCTTACAGTCTATGGGAATTCAAATGTAACGGTTACATTACATCATATTCATGTGATTGAAAACAAATTAACTTGCATTTTTTTTAAAACAACATATTTTCAAAAATATACAAAGGCTTTAGTGATTTCAGACCTTGTAGTACAATTATTTATCTAGAACGAAGTTTAAAACAATAAAAGAAAAGATAAAACTTTAAAATAAAAAAAAAAAACAGGATGTTGGCGAGGTGCTGATCATGTGATCAGCACGGTCGCATCATAAACACTTGATAGAAATACAAAATCCTTATGGTAAAGGTAATGTTGGCAAAGTAAAAGCTAATTGGGGAAAAGGAGCTGAAACAAGGGATTTAATTAGTCCACTGTGGGAAGAATTTAGTATTTGGCCCCAACTATTAGTTTTTCACGTGTTGTTGTGCACTCAAAATTGTTAATCTGTTTACAACACTACTCTTTCATTCATACGTTGGTGATTAGACACAACTAAGCTGTTGGTTACACTACCATTACATTTAGCAATTCCTTTTTATTCTTTATTCAGGTCTAGCCCACCTTAAAAAAACTTCAAATCTTGTTACTGACTATAGCATAGACATGTAAGTCAAGCCTGATTTTTATTTATTTATTTATTTTATTTTTTTATTCTTTATTTTTGTAGTGCATAGATAAGTAACAGTCGCTTGTGAGGTACCCCAAAGGCAATCCTCCAGCGTTTCACATTTATAGGTTACATTGGAGTTAAGAGAAACATGCACAATTTTTGTGTTATTAAGTAACTATTAATACAATTCGTTGCGTATAAGTTTGATTACTCATATCTTGTCGATTAGGTCAGTAAAAATTTTCAACAACAACAGTGAGACTACAATGCTATCTTGCTGAATTTGTAATGCGTTAGGTCATGTCCAACATGTCCTATCGATTAGGTCGGCAACTGTGAGGCTGCAGTGTAACTATGCTAGTCTGAGTGATGCGACATGCTTAACTAGTATATATGAGGTCATGCTTAAACATATTATGGCATGCTTGAATATTGTATTAACATGCACATTGGACAACAACAATGAGACTGCAATGCTACCTTGCTTAATTAGTAATGCGTTAGACCATGTCTAACATGTCCCGTCGATTAGGTCGGTAACTGTGGAGCTGCAGTGTAACTATGCTAGTCTGAGTAATGTATCATGCTTAACTAGTATATATGAGGTCATGCTGAAACATTATATTGTGTCATGCTTAAATATTGTATTCACTATGAAACACACATTTAGGTACAAGATGGGGTCTGAAGCAACACGGCTAAGACATAAATTTTAAAAACAGACAGGATGTGTTACTGCATCTCCATCTATGTGGAACTAGGTTCCACTGGGTGGTCAGGCAGATATCTAAATATCGCCAGAGTGGGTGAAATAAAGGTACAGAGTGCCTATGTAATATATTTAGCCTGTGGTCGCAGGGAGGGAGGGCATGTGAACCACAGCGTTGGGCCCAGGTTGGGGGCTGTGTATTGCCAGTAAGGAGGCCCTCAGCCTATGCCTGTTTCGGGTATCAGTAGTATGTACTTGCTGTGTCCATGCAGACCACTGGGTTTAAGTCCCTCTTTGGTGTTTCTGTGGGAAGCATCCTTTTGTACCGCTATGCAGTGTTCGGCCATATTCTCTGGGTGTAGAGACGTGCTTCTTTGGTCCGAGGTTCTTTGTTTGGGTAGGTAGTGTGGCTGCAGAGGTTGCTCTTTGGTCCAGCTGCTGTGTGTATGGGAACGCGTGGGTGAGCCCCGGTAGCTTGGCACGTTATTCCGCCGGAATGATTTTTGGCGCCTTTGTGGCTGCATGGCCATACTGAACGCTTGTAGTGGGTATCTGTAATGGCGTCTGCGAGTCACTGTGCAGATCCAAAAGGCGATAACTCTGGCTGCTCGGTTGCAGGACACTCCACGATGACAAAGTATTGTCCATAGGTTCGTGCATAGCCGATTGAAGCCTTCCATGCAGTGAGTGGGTGATGTGTTGTTTGTGCCCGCCGTTTTTGGCCCTTGCTGAGCGGCCATCTTGTGTAAGATCCGGCGTTTCTGCAGGCAGTGTAGCCAAAAGGCTGGTCAACTTGTCTGGTCCCCCTGTCCGATGGGGACCGGGATATCCCCCACCGGTCCAAAGGGGGGGGTTGGAGACCTGCTAAGTCGCTTAGGGGGTCCGGTGTCAGAGAGAGCGGCCGTCTCTCCTCGGCTCCGATTTCTGTAGGCCGCGCTTGGTGTCCCGCTTTCCGAGCTCCGAAGGGCTCCAAAAAGGTCTTGTTTTGTTCGGGGGTGCACCCCCGACGTGGGTGATGCACCCTGGTGGGTCTTTGGGCTAATTATCCCCCGAATATGCCCTTTTTCCTGCCCGTTATACAGGAGCTTGTGTCCCCTGCTTCTGCTCTGTTAGGCAGTCAGGCTCCGCCCCCCTGATTTTTATTTCTTAAATGGTGCTTTTCTTTTTATAATGCCACATGCGCAAGGGACATAACTGCATTTACAAATATAAGTTATTAACCCCATGTGTAGAACTAGATTGTTTAAGCATTTGTTGCCAACTACTTTATCTGTAGTCACAATATTGCAAGATTGTGACTATATTCAAGACTAACCTTTATTGGTATTATCCCTTCTGTTCCCTGAATCCTCGTTTACAATACTCATTTAATTTGATTGATTACTTTCCGACCACCCTACATAGACATAACGTAATGAAGTCTGGAAGTGAGGGACACTGGATAGAAGCATATATCTGAGCAGTCAGAGACTTAGCCGAATAGGCTTTGGATTTTTAATCTGACCACAATTACAATTTGGATGTAGCATTCTAATTTATAGTAATACAGTTTGATTTTTCCTTCAGTTTACACCTACATACAGAGCTTTCTCTCTGGAAGTAGGAGTTACTAATCAATTTTTTAGACAAAGCCCCGAGACGCTACTGTGATGCTACACTGATGAGCTGGCGATTACTATTGTGGTATTTCAAGTTTCCCTGTTTATCTATACACACAAAAATAAAGATGAAAAAAAAAACATACTGAATAGAAGATTCAAATTGCAGACCTCCTGTGTACAGAACTGGCATATTTGACGACTGATCATGGGCACATACTTCCCTTCTCGGACTTGGCATTTAACTCACAGGCTCAATATAGGGGTACAAAACTGACATTACTGATTACTGACTGTGAACAATTCTATCTCACTACTTGGACTTGGAGTCTTCCTTCCAGGCTGCATATTTGTGTAGTGACCTTGACTTTGTACATATCTGGTAATGGTTTCTGCACTTTAAATGTTACTTGTTGCATTGTGTGCTGAAACTTTGTTGCGGCAGTAACCTTGCCACCTGATTGAAATACGCAATTATTTCTGATGACTTAAAGGTAGGCAGACAATGTAATAGAGCAGCAGGAAATGCTAGCAGAATGCTTGGTTGTATAGGGAGAGGTATTAGCAGTAGAAAGAGGGAAGTGCTCATGCCATTGTACAGAACACTGGTGAGACCTCACTTGGAGTATTGTACACAGTACTGGAGACCGTATCTTCAGAAGGATATTGATACCTTAGAGAGGGTTCAGAGAAGGGCTACTAAACTGGTTCATGGATTGCGGGATAAAACTTACCAGGAAAGGTTAAAGGATCTTAACATGTATAGCTTGGAGGAAAGACGAGACAGGGGGGATATGATAGAAACATTTAAATATATAAAGGGAATCAACACAGTAAAGGAGGAGACTATATTTAAAAGAAGAAAAACTACCACAACAAGAGGACATAGTCTTAAATTAGAGGGACAAAGGTTTAAAAATAATATCAGGAAGTATTACTTTACTGAGAGGGTAGTGGATGCATGGAATAGCCTTCCAGCTGAAGTGGTAGAGGTTAACACAGTAAAGGAGTTTAAGCATGCGTGGGATAGGCATAAGGCTATCCTAACTATAAGATAAGGCTAGGGACTAATGAAAGTATTTAGAAAATTGGGAAGACTAGATGGGCTGAATGGTTCTTATCTGCCGTCACATTCTATGTTTCTATGTTTCTATGCAATAGGAGTAAGACTCAGAGGATTGTCAGGAAGACAAAATAGTATTATCAAATACCTTCAAGTACACTGCTGGATATTAATTAATCAGCAAAACAATACCAGCAGCTCCTACCTACCTACCTTCATGATTAAATGTGCATCACCAGGCCAATAGATAGAAAAATCCCATTATTCTTGAATAGGAACTATCAACTTGGGGGAGCATTTGCTGCTAAGGAGCCAGGGGGAGAGTTCGTCGGTGTTCGTGCAGGAACCCCCGAACAAAGACCAACCATTGCCTTGGATTCTCTGGAACTATTTTGGGGCCAGTTAAAACTTCTCCCGAATGGCGATTTCGTTCAAGACCCAGGCTATTGGAGAGTATAAGACTTGTGGCGTTCCTATCATATTTTTGTATGTTTTCGGGGTGTTTTAGAATATTGTACATTATTTCCTGGATTGAGAGATAATTGAGTTATCTAGTTTTAGAGCTCAATTATCTCTCAGACCCAGAGGCTGTCCAATAAAAACCCCTGTAAAGTTGCTGTGAAGACCCCATACTAGGGGTCCATGCATAAAAGGCCGTGTGTGGCTGAATAAAAATCAGTTGACTCCCAGAACTGTGTGTCGTCCAGTTACTGGGGGAACGGGCTATATTCATTAAGGAGTGCTTCCCTTCCAGCTCCAGAGTAGGAGTCACTGTGTGGAAATGGATTATCAGGGCCTGGTGCAAGGTAACCACACGCCCCCTGGTGTTGAGCACCAGCAATTGTGCGGCCACATACCAGGGCCCTGATGCAGCTACTGCGGATCCCAGGTGCCAGATGACAATATGCAGACCTCCCAGGAACTGGATTAGGAGGCTCTGCAGCAGACATGTATCCAGTACAGAAACAAGGTAAGACTAGAATAGACACCAAATAAGAAAACAAGACAAAACTAGGAGAACTCAGAACCGGAGCAGGACAGAAAGCAGAACCCAGAACATGTACATGAGGAAAACATGAACAGGGCAGGACAGGACTGTACATGAACTGGGAAAACAAAATAAAACGACAAGATATGCAAGACAAAACAAGAGGAGACATAACTAAGTACTATATATGTAAAACATTGGAGATTTAGACATACATAAATGGCCAAGATGTATGCAGCCCACCACTGCGCCAAAGTACTCCAAATTACGGAGGGTCCTAGACTGCCTAGATATGCATGACTAAATAAACAATAATAAAACACACACTGCACTTACCTGCAAGAAAGGGGCAGAGGACTTGGAGCAACTGCCTGCAGGAACCAACTGAAACAAAAGGATTAATGGGAAAGAAACAGGTGTGGCAACAAAAAACAAACATTTAAAGGAATCCAAGAGACTGTGAATTCCAGGAATGGAATACAGGAATGAACCCAGAAAACCCAGCATAAAGAAAACCAGACATGGAATAGAAAACCAGAAAAAAAAAAACTAAAGAAATGTAAAAAGTGTACTGGATACCAGAAGCCAAGGCCAGACATCTCCGCAGAACAGAGCAGGATGTGACAGACATATAGCAACACACAGGGCCGTCTTTAATAAAGATTGGGCCCGGGGCAAGCATTTGATAGGGCACCCTGACCCTAACACCCTGGCATGCAATCACGATCTCCACTTCCCAACGCAGTAACGGAACCATTTTCCCATGCTTGCAGAGTTGTATTTAGCACTGAGTTGTGTTTGTGTGTTTGAATGGAAGCATGTTTTTGTATGGAGTGTGTTTGTGTAAATGTAGGGGTGTGTTTGTAGGTGGTGTTGGTGTTTGAATGCAAGCATGCATCTGTGTATTTTTTTTTTAATGCTGGGTGTGTTTATATATATTTGTGGTGTTTAACACAAAGATGTATTTGTATTTATTGTTGACGTTTCAATGCAGGACTGTGTTTGTATGTAGTGTTGAAGGTTGAATGCAGGGGTGTA